AGAGAGAGAGAGAGAGAGAGAGAGTTAGGCCAAGTTCTTGTTGAGGAAGAGAATGGTGTGCAGGTGGTTGGGCTTGACGAGGTCCCTCTTCATCTCCACCAGGTGGCCTTGTTTGGAGAAGAGTCTGTCAGAGCTGACGCTGGTGGCGGGGATACACAGATACTTTTGTGCCAGGATCTTCAGGTGGGGGAACTGCACCTCGTTTAGCTTCCACCACTGCAGGGGGTCGGCCTTGCGTGGGATGTTGGCCTCCTTGAAGTAGCGCCGGCTCTCGTTCTCCGCCTCCGAGGCTGTGTTCTTCATGGCGCCGGCCTCCGACACTTTACGGTCGAACATGTTCCAGAAGGACGAGGAAGACGATGCAGTGGCATCGGTGCCGAAGCTGTTGCTGTCTCCGGTGGTGGTGGCGGCGAGCTCGGCACTCTGCACTGTCTGGGTGATCTCCCCTAGCAGGCGGTGCTGCGCCGACTCCAGGGCGGCCATGTCTGTGAAGGCGTGCCGCTTGAAGCGCGGGTCGAGCAGCGTGGAGACGGCCAGCGTGTACGAGTTCTCGAAGTTGGAGAACTGCTGTTGCATCTGCTGGAGGAGCGCACTCTTCAGCGCCGACTGAGGCCCGGACAGCGGGACCATCCCCGACGCCGTCACCTGCTGCAGCAAGGTCGCGATGGGGATGACCTTGGACATGAAGGTGTACCCTGAGGTGCAGATCTCCTGCGTGGCGGCCTCGAACGGTTTGAGGACCTCGATGACGCTCCGCATGAGCTCGACCTCGTCGTCACACAGACACATGTGGTCTTTGCTGAGGAAGCAGAGCACGGTGTTGACCGCCTCGTACTGCTCCACCATGCGCACAAACATGGCGTACGTCGAGTTCCAGAACTTGGAGCTCTCCTGCTTCAACTTGTGCACCGGCAGGTTGTGTTGTTGCTGCACGGCCGACAGCGTGTCCGACGCCTTCACGCACGTCTCGAAGTAGCCAACCGCGTCGCTCGTCTTCTTCTGGATGCGCACGATCTCGGCCACGGACTTGAGGGCGTTGTTGATGACCAGATTGAGCGTGTGGCCGAAGCAGACCAGGTGCTCCCAGCCCGTGCTGAGCGTCGCAGCGGTGACTGTGTTGTCGGTGCCGTTGGAGATGAGGGAGATGATGCGTTCTGAGATGTTCCACTCGTCTGTGATGCGCTTCAGACTGAGTGCCAGCGCGTCGCCTGGGGGGAGAGGGGGAAGTGGATGTTACGACGAGTCTGCAAGCCTAACCACGAGACCACCGACAACTTCACCATTAAGAGTCTGCTAGCCTAACCACGAGACCACCGACAACTTCACCATTAAGAGTCTGCTAGCCTAACCACGAGACCACCGACAACCTCACCATTAAGAGTCTGCTAGCCTAACCACTAGACCACCGACAACTTCACCATTACGAGTCCGGTAGCCTAACCACGAGACCACCGACAACCTCACCATTACGAGTCCGGTAGCCTAACCACTAGACTACCAACAAACCTCATGATTACGAGTCAGGTATGTCATGTTTTACAATTGCATCCATACGACGTGGGGAACTCTGAGCCACCACTTAACCCTATCCGTACGTGGTGTTTACTACATTGTATCGTATCCATACGACGTGGGGAACTCTGTGCCACCACTTAACCCTATCCGTACGTGGTGTTTACTACATTGTATCGTTTCCATACGATGTGGGGAACTCTGTGCCACCACTTTCCAAAGAGGAAATTTACTCTTTAATCCGATCCGTACGCTTTGCATAGCAGTCTGTCAAAATGATTTTTTGAGAAATACGGAGTTTCAAAGAGATCTTCGTACTAGAAGAATTCTAAAATGTGAAGAATACAACCCCGGGGCGTACGGATAGGGTTAATCAGTCGGATCTGCTGCATGTGCTCCGGATGTATTTTGTGGAAATTTAAATTATAATTGTTGACAAAAGCAAGAAGAAATAATGACATGCGCATAAAGCGGCATATACACACACATTTCTGAGTGGAGTTTACTGAAAAAATGTTGACCAAAGGTACAATAGGTAAATTAACCATTTCTCTGATTTTTTTCCTACAGTCACCTAAACTCAAGGTTGAAAGAGTTAAAATAGTTGGTGTCTTCCTACTGTACTGTGCTGATTGTTGTTCTAACATATAGAAGATCCTTTGACCTAATTCATCCATCTTTTTTTCTTCTTACTTTCCGCCCAACAGAGCTAGGCTTTTGTCCTGATGGTCAATGGAAAGATGGAAAAGATGACTGTGATCACCATCACCAGGGAGGGAGAGAGGCTGGAGAGATGAGGGAGAGAGGGAGGAGAGACTTACCCAAGGAAGATGATGATGAGGACAGTTTAGGTGACACAATGAGAGAAAAAACAAAACAAATGATGCTTTGGATTAAACTAGTGTATGTGTATGTGAGTGTGTGTGTGTATGTGTGTGCCTGTGCACATCTGCGAAAATATATGTGTCAGTGTGTGTGCATGTGTATCTACGCATGTGTCAGTGTGCACGTGTGTGCCTCTGCGCGTATGTGTCAGTGTGCGCGCGTGTGCCTCTGCGCGTATGTGTCAGTGTGTGTGCGTGTGTATCTGCTCACATGTGCCAGTGTGTGTGTGCGTGTGTATCTGTACATATGTGTCAGTGTGTGTGTGTATGTGAACATATGCGTCAGTGTGTGTGTGCGTGTGTATCTGCACATATGTGTCAGCGCGTGTATCTGTACATATGCGTCAGTGTGTGTGCGTGCATCTGCCTGCACATATGTGTCAGTGTGTGTGTGTGTGTGTGTATCTGCCTGCACATATGTGTCAGAGTGTGTGTGTGTCTATCTGCACATATGTGTCAGTGTGTGCATGCGTGTGTATTTGCACATATGTGTCAGAGTGTGTGCGTGTGTATTTGCACATATGTGTCAGTGTGTGTGTGTGTGTGTGCGTGTGTATTTGCACATATGTGTCAGTGTGTGTGTGTGTGTGTGCGTGTGTATTTGCACATATGTGTCAGTGTGTGTGCGCGTGTGTATTTGCACATATATGTCAGTGTGTGTGTGCGTGTGTATTTGCACATATGTGTCAGTGTGTGTGCGTGTGTAGGTGAACATGCATGAAGTCTCATCAAGAAGAAGGAGGGCGAGAAAAGACAGGAGGTGAGGACAGACACAAGGGGAGGAAACAAACGAGTTACTTTTGCCGTGAGCCGGGCTGGAGGAAGAGGCGGGGCCAGTGACAAATTTCTCTTCTGTAGAAGAGCTCAGGGGGTCAGAGGGCACGATCCCGGGGGTCACCATGCCGGGGGTGTGGCTCGGCAGGCCATCCAGCTTGACCAGTTGACTGGACGGAGGGCTGGTCTCTCCTCCTTTGGGGGGGCGGGGGCAGGGGGGAGGTAGAGGGGAGGGGGAGGGAGGGGAAGGGGAGGAGTGAGAGGAAGAGAGGTAAGGGAAAGGGGAAGAGGGGGGGAGAGGACGGAGAGTGAGAAGGGCAGGAGATGAAGGCGGAAGTAGGGAGGTGAATTGCGAGGGGGAGGGAGGGAGAGAGAGAGAGAGAGAGAGAGAGAGAGAGAGAGAGAGAGAGAGGGAGAGAGAGAGAGAGAGAGAGAGAGAGAGAGAGACAGACAGACATGATAAGACTAGAGTCACCAAGCTCTATCTCAATGTAAGCGTGGCTTCGTTAGTTTCTTCGTTTGTATGTCTATTGTCTGTCGTGAGAGTTTCATCATCAGCGCTGTCACAACAGTTTGGTCTTACAATAAGTTACAAATACAGACACTTGTATCAAATGTTGTACAAAGATGACACCAGCACAGTACAGGATGGAATCCACTGAATCACCACCAGCACACACGCCCCCCTTCCACAAAAAAAGTTTTTGATCCTATCCGTACGCCTGGGGTCATTTTGTACCCTCGGGGCTGTATTCTTCACATTTTAAAATACTTCTAGTACAAAATAACCCCAGGGCGTACGGATAGGGTTAAAGAATTAAATATTGTCAACTTTGAACTAAAATATGCCGAAAAATAATGAAACAATTATGCTGCTATAAAATATTTGATAAACTTCTGGACACGTAATTTTAACGAAGAATGAAGAAATATTCAGAAGAATAGGTCTAGAAACATTCCTTTAGAACGTACAAAAACTTTGACGGAACTGCTTCGGGCATACATCAGACACTATGATTGAGTCAAGAAACACATTCTGAAAGCAAAGTTTGAAGGCAAGAGAGGAAGGGGAAGACCGTACAGAAGATGGGAACAGGACACAGAAACCTGGCGCGGAACCAAAACAACTCAGGCAGGCAGGCAGAATGTCAAGAGACAGAGTGTTGTACGTTTTGTTTTTTTCTTTTGACGTTGAATATCCCGGCAACATCACATGGAGCTTGTTGTTGTTGTTGTTGTTGACTCGATTTCTCTGATGTTGAATTTAAGGAGGAGGTACGGTGAACGAAAAAACACGTTTATTCACTGACCTAAATAAATGAATTTAGCACAGAAAGACAATGCCAAAGTGCGAAATGATTTGGAGGCCATCTTGAAAATAAACAGAAATCTTAAATTCCTAAAACCTCAAACACTAATCAAAATATTCCACTTTGTAAGATAAGAATCGAAAGGCAGGACCTATACTGAGGTCATAGGGAGACTATTTTTTTTCATGGATGTTGCACGATGAATTTCAAGAGGTAAAAAAGTGTTGAAAATACACCCACCAGCTTGATATAAATGCTCATGGCCCCTGCCATATTCAAAGAAACACAAAAATAACTAGCTCATTGTCTAGAAATATGGATAAACCATCACTGTGCCCAATTTCAAGTCTCTAGGGCAATAAGTAAGCGAGATTTTAGGACTTTTGTCTTGTCGCACGCTGTCCATGAAAAACACAGTTGAGAGAAAATGGCCATTAAAGTAAAAAATAACCTACTGTGATACTATTGGTAATAGCCAGAGGAAACAAAAGTTCACATCAGCATGCCTATCTCAGCGAAATAATAACCAAGTGACCCCCACCTCCTTCAATCTCAAAATTTGTCAACTTCTATTCATGATGGATGAGTATTTTTTTCACCAAAAGCAAGACAAATGAACAAGCTTTAAACTGATACCAATAACTCCACATGTCCCAAAATAGACGAGCGTTTGATTCCACAACGTCGTAACACTATATATAGATATTGCCCTGGTGTTTCCCCATGTGTTTCAGTTCTCTAAGTAGGTTGCTCTGTGTCTACCCTTGCCTCATTTGCCATCAATTTTACCAGAGAGAGAGATAGGATCATAGATGTTCAAGACCTCTAACTTTATGTCTGTTCAAATGTTCTAGAAATTGTATTTGACGATTACTATCAATTTTAGATCAGTCAATTCATGTTCAGTACAATGTTAAATGTAAAAGACTATGTATCAATTTATGTATTTTTGCAAATTGCATTGTGTGTATTAAATTATTATGTATTTGTATGTGCTCATTTCGTAACGATGTGTAAGCGTGCGCATGTGATAAGCAAGTAGATGTGAGTGTGCGTGTGTGTGAGTTGCGTGCGTGCGTGTGTGTGAGTTGCGTGCGTGATTATTGTTCGTACATACATTTATGTAAAGAGTCTAGAGCTCTGTTCACACGAGAGAGGGTGCTATAGAAATGATCTACATTATTATTATTGTTATTATTCAACCGAAATGTCGGTGTTATCACAGACTGGAAATCGTGAGGATGTCAATTTTGGAAGTTTGTCGACTCATTCCTTCATTTCTCTTTGAATGATGGCTTATTGTTCTTGTGCTTTGAGAGGGAAGTCAAGCATTCCATGGAAGTAATCACGCCAACAGTTGTGTTAAAAAAAAGTTTGAGTCTACAAGCTCTTCATACCGATACCCTTACGAATTCCAGTGAGTCTGTGATAACAGACATTTTTACATCCAGCTTTCCTACATCTCTACATCAACGCCCTACTGTGACCTGTATCTAGATGGTTACTCGTGAAGCGTGTACTGGGGAGACTGGACAGACTAGAGGGTTATTGGGACACGTGTACTGGGGAGACTGGACAGACTAGAGGGTTATTGGGACACGTGTACTGGGGAGACTGGACAGACTAGAGGGTCAAGTACACTGGAATCCGTCTAAAGTGAACCCGCTTTATTTGAACAATTGGTTAAAGTGAACGATATTCTGCGGCCCCGATTGAAATGCAATTTGTTTAAGTAAAAAGAAATGATCAATGGGGAAATCGGACTAAAAGAATGAGAGAAAGCCAAGCTGTGAAAACAAAATTCTTTGTCTCGGGCATCGGCAGACAATCCCAGCTCGGCATTGGGGACGGCAATCAATAAAAAAGAGCTCCAGTCTAGGCCCGCCCGCTATGTTGTCCCCCCCCCCCCCCCCCTCTCTCTCTCTCTCTCTCTCTCTCTCTCTCTCTCTCTCTCTCTCTCTCTCTCTCTCTCCCTCCCCTCCACCCTAGACCCACCACTGCCAGTAGCTGCTGTCTCTAGGCCTCCACCCCACCACAATGGTTCCACTGAACCTCGCATAAAGCGCACACTTTCCTCTGGTTCCAAAGAGGTCACTTTAACCCTATCCGTACGTCGTGTTTTACTATCGTATCCATACGACGTGGGGAACTCTGTGCTATCACTTTCCAAAGAGGAAATTATTCGTTAATCCGATCAGTACGCTTTGCAAAGCAGTCTGTCAAAATGATTTTTTGAAAAATACTGAAAGTTTCAAAGAGGTCTTCGCACTAGAAGTATTCTAAAATGTGAACAGTACAACCCGGGGGTACAAAATGACCCAAGGGCGTACTGATAGGGTTAAGCAGACCCAATGATAGTTCACCTATGACCGGTGTACTGAGCGGGGAGACTAAAAGGTCAAGTAGTTCACCTGTGGCTTCGTCGGTGCGGTCAAAGGTCTCCAGTACGATGCTCGACATCTCCCAGTTGTCCTTGATGAAGTGGGCGGAGACCGTGATGAAGTTCTGGGAGCCCCTGTACATCCAGGTGTCCACAGTGATGGCGAAGAAAGACGCGATGACTACCTGTGGGAGAGAGGGAGTGTGTGAGGGAGGGAAGGAGGGAGTGTGTGAGAGAACAAGAGTGAATTTCTTTTCTGAACAAGAAGCCAATGCAATGGCCGTAAACAAGGTTTAGCAGTCTCGCTTTCTTTTCCACAAAACTCAACTATTTGTTGGTCCAACCAAAGGCAGAGAGACCCAGAACTCTACAGGAGCTCAGGATCTGTGGCAAACAACAGCCTTAGTACAAGACACTGTCACAACGGGATGTCCCTTCAGATGAACAAGATGAACAAGTACGAGACAGCCCATAGCTCAAACTGAGCTTTTAGGCATGCACACGAAAATTTAAGAGAGAAACAAAATTCTGATACTTGGAAAAACCTGGCTCTTTTATTTCAGACTTTTTGGAGGTAGCGTTTTCAGAGGAGGAGACAACTGTGCAATGTAACAACAAAACCCCAACGTCAACTTGGCAGGGCCGGAGAACTGCTTTGTCTCATATAGGAAGTTGATAGGCAGAGAGACTAAAGAAAGGGGCAACCCCCCCCAAGAATTTGAAATCTTTTTGTGGTTACAGGAATTTCTGGTAAAAAAACAAACAAAGTGTCTTTGTGAGGTTAAACAAGGTCACAGTGAAAACTGTTCAAGATGGATAGCCACTGTGAGAGAGAAGAACGCTTGTCTCAAACAGGTGACTGTCTTTGACTGGCATTATCACGCAGGAAAAATGCTGGGTGGGGTGGGGGGGCTATTTGTACAGGTTAATGTCTGGGCTAGGTGGCCATTAGACTAGTGTGGTGACAGGTCGGACTCAATGTGTGCACAGCAGCGGTCACCGACTCACCTCAAGTTTGACCAGTTGGATGGTACAAGTTGACAACTCACCTCAAGCAGGACCAGTTGGATCAGGCTGGATTGTAACCTCAAGTCAAGTTTGATCAGTTGGACAGGTTGGATCAGGTTGGACGGTACACATTTACAACTCATCTCAAGTTTGATCAGGTTGGACGGTACACATTTATAACTCACCTCCAGTTTCACTTTGTTCTTCGTCTCCTCCGCGAGGTCGTTGAGCATGGTCTTCATGATGGTTTTCTTGGACGGCGGCTCGTAGCGCACGTCAAGCGCCTTCACAAAGTCTCGGAAGCCCCTCCCCTCCACGATGGACGCGGGCTGAAGGTCAACGGTCAACATCTTCAACAACGCCTTGTTTGTGTTCTGCTTCACCCTCTCGGCACCGTACGACTTTTTGATCCCCGGCGTGGCGATGCCCAGGCCGACCGACGCAGCCACAGCCGTGCTGCTGTTGTTGAGCTGTTGCGAGATGTAGGTGGCGTCTGCTGTCGCGTTCTGAACCAGCGCCTTGGGCCGCCGACCTCTAACCCCCGGTCGGGTCACCGGTTTCCCGGCTTTGGCCTTGAGCTCTAGGTACAGCTCCATCTCTGCCTCTCGCTGGGACTCGGCCTCCTTGTAGGTGGAGGGGTGCTTCACGCGCAGATGTTTGAACAGGTTGGAGGTGTTGTTGGCATGGTGGCAGGTGGCGCCACAGAGCTTGCACTTGGCTCGCTGCGGCTCGTTGGGGATCTTGTCGAAGTAGTACCACACCACGCTGCGCGGCCGCCGTGGACCTTTGTTCTTCTGATTGGCTAATTTGGGGGTCGTCTCAGCCATATTGATTGATCACGCTGTTCTCTCACCAACAGAACAGACCAGTTTGGAAGGTCTAAGTTTTTGGTGTCAGACACTTGACAGATGGTGCTTGAAGATGCTGAAAAGGACAGAAGAACAATTGTTTGACTCATAAAATACTGAGAATGTAACTGCACTGTTAGATGTATGAAGAGTATCCAAAGAATTAAGAGGCAGGATAGAATAAGAAATGAAGAGCTGTGGGAAAGGACAGGACAAAAGGATATAAGAAGTAGAAACAGGACAAAGAAAGTGGCGATGGATGAGACACACCTTAAGAAAGCCAAGTGGAAACATCACAAGACAGTCACTGCAGTGGAACCCACAAGGAGCACAAGGCAGGGGTAAGCCAGGGGAAACATGGAGGAGATGTGTGGAAAGGGACATGAGAGAGATGAAGCTCACTTGGAACGAGCTTGGAAGGATGGCCCAGGATAGAGATAAATGGAAGGAGCTTGTATATGGCCTATACCCTGCCAGGGGTGGAAGGCATAGATGATGATGACTGCACTGTTCTTTTCTATCCATCTATCAGCTGCAGCAAGACAAAGAGTATTACTGTACACATGCTGGGCACAAAATGTACCTGCAGCTGTAACATTCACTCTGTGAAGTCCCAAGCCACAGCAAGTATACACTCTAAAACTGCAAGTATTAAATGAAATGCTCATGTGCAAAACGTATTTTTTGTTCTTTGGTCCCCAGGTATGGAACGAACTCCCATATAAAATAAGATCTGCCCCAACAATTTCCATTTTAAAAAATCAGCTGAATCAT